GCTAAGTAAGACAGCTGCTCAGACAGTGACAGCATTCTTCCCGGTGAGCGCTCCAGGAAGTGAATCTGAACGCTCCTCAGTGCGTTAAACATTAGCTGCTCTCAAACACGGATTAGTGGCTACTTAGGATCACTCCCATACAAGCGTAAAACTAGACAGGCTGTTAAGAGCCGCATAAACCGTTGAGTGACGGCTCCACACTTAGTGGGTGTGTGCATGTCTGCGTGTGTTTGCATCTGTACACCAGGCGATGGGATATTTTTTTCAGCCCTGCAGGGTTAAAAAATGATGATGGCCTAACAGTCATAAAGGCTGATAACAAGAAGTCAACAAGAACCTGTGAACCTTATTGTTTGCTTTCCCTCTATTTCTCTTGTTACTTATTAACATAAACCTCGTCAAGAACCTCACATTGAATCCTGCGATTGAACCCAAGAACAAGGAGCTGTAACGCTTGGAGGGATCCAAGTCTGATCAATGGATCAGCTGATGCTTGGTTATCCTAAATGTCTCCCGCAGGTTAGACTCGATGTCGAGGATGTTATGTATACATTGAGAAGCTTTTCACAGGGTTATTTTGGAGGCCGGGGTGTGACTTTATACTGTCCTCCAGGGATCAACTTGAACTCTACGTCATGCGGGAAAATGATGTTTGAAGTAAGACTAGTCAAAACTGAGTGCAACAAAAATACGTCTTAGATGTCAAAGGTTCTGCCTCACAGCCATTAACCGAACAAGTTTTATTTTCTTAAGAATTACCACATCTATCCATTTCCCACTGTGGGGTCCCCACGCTTGTCGGTTAGTTTTTTTCTCTCCGATTTCTGTTCTTAGGGAGAAAAGCTCAGAATTCCCATTACTGAGCTCAAGTGTTTTGTACATTCCTGAACAGTTAGCATCAGTGAACGTGCCCCCTCGCTCTTCTCCTGTTACCGTTCGCCACTTTGTGGGAAACGCCGACAGAACGCTGATAGCAGGGCTTTGGCAGTAAATGGATACCAGCGAGCGTTCGGGCCAGCTGACGCTCAGGTCCTCCTCTCTGTCGTGTTGTGCTTTTGTCCGCAGCTTATCACCGGGGTCAAGGAGGGGCTGACTTCCACAAAAATATGGGATTACTTAAGAGCACTGTTGTGTGCAAAGGACTTATTAATCTTTAGACTCGATAACAGTTGCATGGAGACAGTAGAGTATCAAACACACACTCGCCCGTCTGGGTTTAGTCTAACTTTGTCTGTAATATGTCACATAAGTCAACCTAAAGCAATAACAGTAATTTCCACAGGCTCATGATTACCTGTTGTTAAGAGACAAGCCTGCTGTTATCGACCAGTGAGATGCAACTGCCTGGACACTGTCCTGAGACTTAATGTCCTAGTTCAATGGGTTCCCTGGGCTTAGACAGCTAGAACCATTTTCTAACAAACAATTTAAATATTATTGATCAAAATCACAGGAGATGCAGTTCTTTGATAAATGTGCACATACAACCTGTGGCTGTAGTCTGTGCATTCAGTACTATGCAGGTTTGTTTGAGTGTGTCCAGGAGTTTGACATAAAGTGCTGAGATGTGAACCAAGATCAATGTATAACTAAGTCTGCAATATATTAAACGGGCACATTGATGGGGACATAAGGACCAAAACAACAACAAAACAGTTTTTGTCAGATGAGATTTTCCTAGAAATTAAAAAAAGCATGTTTATATTTAATCATCATCAGAGGTCAGTAGTGCAGAACAAGGGCCTGAGGCTTTGTGAATCACTGTCACCACCAGTCTCTGCATATCTGCTGCACTGGTGAAGAATAATGTTCTCTTTGAAGGTCCAGTGTGTAAGATTTAGGTGAAAGGGATCTATTGGCAGAAATTGTATATAAAAAGATCCTAGTGATGTTTTTACTCGTCTGTTTCATCTAAATTGTACAACTTGTTGTTTTCTTTACCCTAGAATGGGCCTTTTACGAATAAAAACTTGTTTTGCTTATAATGAAATTTTATAAAGTGCAAGCATATCCTATTATTATGAATTTGTGTAGGGGGCTCAGTTTGTGGGTGAAGACCTGAAGACAGTAGGTCACGTGGCGACAGCAGGATGATGATAGTTCTTGTTTGTTGGAACAAACCAGCTGCAGCCCCTTGAGCCATCACTCCACTTATTTCCTCCACATGCATCTGATACCATTTAGAGGAATCGTCCTGTTTTACATCGCCAGCCTCTCCCAGATCATGTCTGCAGAATGTATATCACAGTGTGTGTGTTAGTTAGTGTGACGGGCTGTCACTCACTGATTACTGTATAGAGAGTTCACCATTTTGTAGTGCAATCCGAATGATTAGTTAAGATTTTATACCCTATAGTACACTCATTGTAACCCACAATGCATCATGAAAAGTATTGTACAACTGGTGGTCACTAACTGAGCAATATATACCATCATGCATTGCACTGGTGGCGGAGAGACAAGAGGAGCGAGGGCAGCGCCGCTTGAATGTAAAAAGAAGCAGAGCAGCGCATCACAGCACAAAGTTTACTTCTACATTTAAAGATGATCATTCAACATGTTTTTTTAATTTATCCTCATTGTTGTACGTCAACAATGAGAAAATGCACCGAGTAGCGTTCTTTTCCCGATGAGCTCACTATGTAGTGCTCTATATAGTCATCACTATACAGTGAAGTAGGGCATAGTGAGTGCTGTGATTTCGGACACAACAACTTGCAGTCTGGTGAAGACACTGAACAAAACATTTACACAGTAAAAGACAATAAATAACATTTACTATCTTTATAGTGAAATAGGCTCAGTCCCAATGTCCACTCTCAAGGACTCTGAGACTTTGAGTTGCGTTCCAGTTGTAAATTGCGACAGGGTTCCCTCTCAGGCTTTCTGAGCCCTTTATACACACTTCAAGCTTTTGCTGCCTGTCACACTCAGTCAATTAAGTCTGTGAGGGTACAGGGTTTGAGTCATTAGAGTTTAAGTAAGTTTATTATCCTGAATTCAACAAAAGGGAAACCTCAAAGATGTATCCAGAAACCTGAAAATATGAAACAGTTTAAAACCACAACAAATTACTTCTTTTAATTTGTTATAAAAAAACTTCAGTATTATGACCTGCAACTAAGGTTTTGAATTGAACAGCACCTCTGAGCTGTTAACAGTTAGTAACTCAGCCCCTATCATTTTAACTGTTGGCTCAGATGTGCACACACACACACACACACATACACACACACACCCACACACCTGAAAATGCTGTGTCTGGGCATTAATCTCGGCTTAATCATTCTCTCACCACCAATTCATCCATCGTGTACAATCAGCACTTTTATTTTCACCACTTGCCTATGATGTTTGACACTTGGTTCAATGGCAATCTGAACAATCACAAAACCACCTTGTGTTTTTGCATGAAATCTTCCTTTACACAGTTGTAGAAGCAGCAGGATGAAATTCAGAGTCTGATTTCTCAAACCAGTGCAGGGCTGAAGTTTAATTTCGAAGTTCAGCATCAGTGCAGATCATCCGATGGCTTTGGCGTCTGTCGTTGCAGTGTTGTTACAGTTTCTCTTGCAGGAGCCTTAATGGAAGCTCCTTATTATCTTATTATCAGGTGCTGACAGTCAACACCAACAGGTTCATTACCTGGGAGCTCAGAGCCAAAATCCTTTGGCATAAAAAGCTGCAGTTCCTCTTGGATAACTGAAAGTTATATTTTTTGAGTTCAGTCCAAAAAGAAATATTGTGACACAGATTTACAAGACAGTTTGAAGTTAAAAAGTAAAAGAGAGATAGCTGGGGGCTGGAAAATGTCCGTAGCAACTAACTAGGACAATTGCATTTTCACAAAAAGCCCCTCCAGAAAATCTCAGGAAAATGTCCACAGTTCAGTGCATGTCTGAAAGCAGCTATCGTAAGTAAATGAGATCCAAATTTGCAGAATGATCAAGGTGAAGTGTGATGCAGAGTCACTTCAGGCTTGGCTGACAGGGGTTTTTGTGCTGCTTAATATTACAGGAGAAATGATGTTGTGTTACTCTGGTGGTTCCTTGGTCTGTGGCTCAGTTCTTTCTCCGTGGGCTGGGTTCAGGTCATGGTCTTTGTTTTATAGCTGGTCAATCATTAAGTAAAAGACCTTGTCTTCAATGTACATCCTGAAGTCTCCTCAAAAGGCCAAGGTTTTCTGTTTTCACTCAGTTTCGAGGCCAGTGAAAGAATCAAAGATCTACTTTAAAACATGTGACTGTACTGTATGTCTTGGATTTGCTCTATGGACAGTTGGGCTGGGCATCAATTCACTATTGTAGTTTACTGACGCAGTTTTAACTAAAACAAACTGAATTCTCCTCCAGGCAAGACACTGAAGCACCAACAGCTGTTCTGGCCCCGACCTCTGACCTGAGATGTGACCTAGAATCATTAAATTGTGACGTTTCCATTTTAAAGTCATTCCAACAGTGTCCTCTTGACTTTTTATGGCATCTGGTGTCTCAGTTCAATGCAGCGACAGGTTGCTTTGATTCACAGTGGCCGTGTGGACAGGTTGTGTGGCTCATAAATGAGACGGACTCATAAACACTGACCTTTAGTACAGTCGCCCTTAGGGGGTGGCGAGGGGTGTGTGAATGAGAGGCATAAAGAGAGAGGGTTGTGGAATGTGGAAGAGAGAGCAGAAAGTGAATGGATCAGAGGAAAAAGAGAGATGAGGAAAAAAAGACAAGTAGACCAGACAGAGTGAAAGAGAGAGAGAGAGAGAGAGAGAGCAGGAGTAGGCAGGGAGGAGGAGGGGTGATTAGTGTGTGTGAGCCGGAGCTCTGATTGGTCCAGCTGCCTGTGTGTGTGTGTGTGTGTGTGTGCATGTGCATTTGCATGAATCATTCTGTGTGTGTGTGTTCATGTGCCCCTAGCCAGTGGGCGGGGGATTAAGCCTGCGTCACGTGGTCCCTTTAGCTTCTTTACCACACAAACACACACCCTCATTCTCTGAAGGCACACACACACACATACACACATACACACACATCCCCTCACATATACACTCACAGCTGTTGATTCCTCTCTCACTGATGAACACCGGTACAGACGTGGAGAGGAGCCGGCAGGAATTGGAACAAATCTGTTCTCTGCTGGAAAAACCTGGAGGGACAAGTGGACGGACTGGTTCTCTGTGATCGCTGCCTGCCTCTCACTTTCTGTCCCGCTCTTTCTCTTTGACTCTCTCGTCTTCTCTCTGGGACTCAGTGTTGGAATTTTGAGCGCAGACGGCGAGCAGCAGAGGAAAACAGAGACATGTGTTTTGCCTCAGCCGCCTACTACCACTGCCTGTGCTCTCCCATTCACTGACCGAGGAGGAAACACAAGGTTGGTTGGGCTCTGGCTTATTCTCTTGTTCTCTCGTGTGATATTTGGAAAGTTCTTTGGGAATTTGATCCCTCTGGTGCTCAGATCTTCTAGTATTTTAATCCCATTCATTTCTGTTTATTATAAGTTGCCTTCAGATTGCCATCCATAAAGCTGACTTGTAGTTTTAGGGGAATTCCAAGTTAGTGCAGCCGCCTGGGCACTCACACAGGCGAGTACACACTCCTGCACTATAAACACGCTTGGCAGTAACAGTGCAGTGAGTGTGAGCACCAGAGAAGATTAGCTCTGGCTGTTAACTCTGATGTGTCCAACACTGGGCGCTGGAGGCATGTGGCGATACAAGTGAGCGTTTAGCATGCAGACATTCCTTTGGATGGATATCTACTTGAAAAAATATCCAGATAAGATTTTTTTGCGCACTCTAACCTGCGTTAGAAACAGCTGCTGCCACTGACGAAAGGGTTGCACAATAAACAAACACCACCAACTACAATCAGATGTTTCCATGTGTCAAACAGACAAAACACGGGCTGCACAGCCGGCTCGCTGTTGGGCGCAGGAGAAGTCTTCCTCATCTCATAGTAAAGCTGCTGGATGATCTGTAAGCTGCTGAGCATTTGGTTCCAGTTCCACTGCTAGATCTGTCATGCAGTCATGTTTAGACACGTACACACCTGCTCCTCTGTTTGTGTGTGTCTTGCATGTGTGAGTTGCTCTCACAGGGTTAACTCTGCAGGTCACAGTGTGCAGATCTGTGCGCGTGTGCTCACTCTGCCATTTACAGTGTGTATGGATATAATTAGCCCCTATACAGATTCTTTCCTGGTATTGTTGCCATCAGCTTGAAACACAACCTAAAAGGCTGTTTGCCTATTTTTAGTGGTGGTAGCTCGTGGAGAGTCAAGCACGCATGCTTTGAAGCTGACCCCAGGCCAGATGACGATATGAGGGTTAACTGTCTGGGTGAATGTTGGTGGTCAACTTATCAATTGTGTTTGCTGCCTGGTAATAAACAGCGTCTGTTATCTTCTGCATTCAGTTAAAGAACAGTGACAAACAATGTCAGAAAGGGAGAGTTGGAGAGAGATGTAGGAAACCAGAAAGATGGCACCACACCGAGAGATGCAGCAACTGACAAATAAACAGTGATTGGTTTCCAGATTAGCCGCCTGTCATCCGATGGAGTGTGTTGCCTGAGTCGCTGGCTCTTATCCAGCTCCAAATGTCAGAGGACGACTGATGCACTATGGGTGATCACTCTGGGATAAAACACACAGAACGGAGATGAGGGAAGGAAACTAACGTCTATCAAAGGGAAATATGAAAGACCAGAACGCAGCAGTGTTGCCTCACTGATATTTCACCGAAAATTATAAAGCACACAAATGTTTGTTTATGTCACTACACAAAAAGAACTTGATGCATATTTATAAAAAAATATATTTTTTGTATATTGTTGGGCTGAGATCATGAGTCTATTAATCAGTTAGTTGATTGACAGAAATTAAATCAACAACTGTTTAAATTATTGATTATTTAGGTTTTTTTTATTTAGGGTTTCTCATTCTAGCATCTTAATTGTCAGCTATTCTATTCGATCTGTAGTTTGAAGACATTGGAATTTAGCAAATGGAATCATTATTTTCTGAAATTTTATAGACCAAATAATGAATTATCTATCATTTAAATTACTTGAGAAAGCATTTGGTGGATTCACCAATAATTAAAATAATCTTTAATGTGAATATAAAACATTAAAGAATCCTACGGTGTATTTGATAAATCTGTATCACTCATGCTATTTTTACCTGGAGTTTAAATCCAGACTAGATGGAGGTTTAGTGTCAGTGAATGAAACTTTACATCAGTTACTCATAGTAACCAAAAACACGTTAGCGCTCTCTGGTTTACAGCAGTGATTGGTTTTATGGCACTCTTTAAATAACTGTTTATGGGCGAGAACGTTTTCATGGACGTTCAAGAAAATTGGACAGCCTCCCCACACATGAAGGCTGTTTATGTTTGCAGAGCTGCCGAACACGGGTAAGGTAGAGGGAGGGTCAGTAAAGGTCACGGGGTGAGAGGTTGCGGTCACCTTGCCTCGGGCTGCGGTCTAGCGCCCCTCGCTAAAACACAGCTCGCCTCGTCTATCTGCTGCAGAATAACAGTGCTTAAATCAATTAGATTACAGTGCTCTAATGCCACTTCTTTGAAGGGCAGTTGTGTTTCAAGTTTCCGGTTAGACGCTAAACTCAGAATTCCAAACTTCTGGAGTGGTTGTGGATTTTGAATTTGTTTCATTGAAGTAAACAAACAGATAAAACCATCACGCATGACATTTGAATTGTAAATATTGATGCTGTAATATGAGGATCCGATCCGATCCGACCCCCCCCCCCACCCTCTCAAACCTCCCAACCGTCGACCCCTCTGGATGAGACCAGACCGGGAGGTTTCGGGACGGGGACAATGATCTATTGACAGAGACAGAGAGTTCAGAGGGGGGAGGGGGGGCTCATGCTGGGGACTGCTGGAGTTGTGTGTCTTGTGACAGAGCAGTGATTGGGCGTTGAACTGAGAGGCTGGGTTTGGAGCGCGGGGGGGGGGGGTATTTTGGTGAGGCTACAGCTGGCTTTGCAGAATTCCACTCATACAGAAAATTTCAGGCATGAGCTCTGTCAGTCGCACATTCTTAGATGTATTTTTGAGTATTTATTTATGCTCTAAGTTTTATTTACTTTAAAGATTCTGGCACAGGATCATGAAGTGATTGCAGCCACATGTCTGCCTTCTGTTTAATTATGCATTCTGCCCTCAGTTTTACAGTATATCTCCATACTACTTCCAATTACAGTGACTATGGTCGAGAAAAAAACAAAGCAGAATAGTGCAGAGGCGCAGGAGGACAGATTCAATATCAAGTTACATAACTCTTTGCTGCCCAGCTGCCTTCAATTAAAGAGGATTTTTCATGGGGCTTTTATTCATTTCCACAATATAAATCACAGCTTTAGTAGAGGGATCGGGTCGAGAACGAGAGGCTTCCTATTTCCAGATAACACCATCAAGAAAACGCTGGTAGTTTGAAGAAATATTTTAGCTTTTTAAAATATGATCGACATAAGGTTGTACTTTTTTTTTTATTTTTTTTTTACTATGTCTGTCGTGAGAATACAAACCCATCATCTGCAGAGAGGGGATGTGGGAGGGTCGGCCGTTCAAATTCCCAGTGGAAATGGGGAAAATATAGTGATTGATGAATACACTGAACTTCTACTAAACTCTGAGCAAGGCATTAAACACCCAAAGAAGCAACAGTGGTCGTATAGGAGTACAACTAAGGTCTGATTGTTTGACTACGAGAAACGTCATGTTTAAGTTAGTCAATATAGTAAAAAGTGAGCCTTTTGTAATTCCTCAAAAAGTGTTGAATCTTGTTGCTGGCTTTTTTTTACATATTTAGTACAGTAGCAGTACTGTACATTTCAAGTCTCAACAAAGTTGAGAAAGGTTTTATTCCCCAGGAACCAGTGAAGAGAATAACCCAAAAAACTCCTCATGCCTGGGTTCATCCACTCAGAAGGATTTCTTTAAACTGGCTGTTTGTTTGGTCTGAGGATGTCTTCTCTATTCACTTATCTGTGTGTCGCTCCACTAATCTCAGCCATCTTTCTGAGTGCCATTTGACCTGAATGAGTAGCTTAGCAGCATGTGTCAAACCAAATCACCTCTCCGGCCGCTGTTTCCCACCACAGCAAGTAAACAGCAGTGAAGGTTAAAAGGAGAGAAGGGGTCGATTCTGGAGTAACTCCTACATTTTCGAGCCTCCTGCTGTCATATGATTACCGGAAGCAACGGGGATCCCTTTTTCTTAAATGATCTCTTGCTGTCTCTCTCTCTTTTTCTCTTTCTCTCTCTCTCTCATTCCCCTAAGAGACGCCATCTGGTAGAGATCCCATAAGTCCCGCCTCTCCCTAATACATCACCAGCTTATGGTCCACTTCTACAACTTTAGCCACACTGCAGTTTTATATGTTTTGTCTTTGTCCTCCTGCGAATCAATCTGTGTTACATTCACGGAGGAGGACAAGTGTTTGTATCATGTGTTTGTTTACCTGTTAGTTTTCAGGATATCAGAGTTAGCCCATTGGTCAAAGAACAAGTCTGCAATCATGATTGGGAATGATTGGGAATTAGAATGGCTGTCAGTAGAGTGCACACCTCCCAACAGTCCCCAGCTGCCTGAACCTTCCTCCTGACAAAACGTAATGGAAATCAGTTGAGTAATCCTTCTAACTTACAAACAAATGCAGATGAAAACATAACCCTGGCGCAGGTTATTATGATCTTTATCCACTGAAAAGAAAAAATAGTCTTTCCCAGTTTGTGTTGTTGTGTGCTTTGTCAGATTCCTCTATAAATTCCGTTTGCGTCACGTTTCTTTTTTTGTGGAGTCTTTCGAAAACATAATAAAGTCTAAGTATTTCCTTCATTTATTTATTGGCTGTGTCCCTTGGCAGGACAACAAGGCATTCAGAGGGTCGGTCACAATCGTTGATTTTACTTTAACAATCTGCATCCTGAGAAATGTTTGTGTCTCTGCCAGCTGACCTGAGTATGAACAGTGGGAGTAAACCAGCTCACCAGTCAAGGTCAGCACGTTCAAAGCAAGTCCTCCTGTTATTCTCCTCTGCTTTGTTGGGAGGTGTGTCACAGTGACCTGGCAGTGTGCAGTTGTGAGTGTATACAGTGTGCATATGGAGCAAAATTGTACGGCCAGGACAGTACAGAAACCTGTTTTTATATCCACAATAGAAATACACAAATCTTTTCATTTGCATTTTGCCTCAAGAAGCAAAAGTGTTTTGAATCTTGGTTACTGCTTTATTTGCTGTGAGTTTGAATCCTCGTCCATGCTATGAAACGTCGATATGAACCTTTTTCTTCTTTCAAATGAAATGATTCATGCTCTAACCTGTACACCTCCCTGCTTTCTCTCTTCTCAGGTAGAGTCCGAGCCATAGAGTGAGTGAGCGAGGTGAAGCAGGCATGAGTGCGGACAGCCATCAGGAGGTGGTGACCACCCCTCCTCCGCCTGGCAGAGGGACCAAGGAGCGCTACTTCGACCGGGTCAATGTCAACGATCCTGAATACATCAGGGCCAGGAACATGTCGCCCGACCTGAGGCAGGACTTCAACGTTCTGGAGCAGAAGAAACGTGTCACACAGATACTACAGAGCCCCGTAAGTGAAAGGAGAGAAAAGCGAATATGCACAGGCCAGACAATATAAATGTATACTTGTATACAGAGTTGTACACCAAGGACTTTTGTTGAGCTGCCATGTTGTCCAGCTCTTTATAGTCACTGATCCTGACAGGTTGCTGGGACTGCTCACAGAAGCTTCTCCCTACAGAATGTTGATCACAGATCAATTTTGTGGTAAATTAGGTTTTTTAACTTCAGCTAAAAGGTGATCAACTCCTCCCCCATTGCTGTTGTAGTATATTGCAGTAGAGAAGTTTGCCTCTGTGTTTTTCCTCTGGGGCGTTGACTTCGATGTCACAAAAGCACCGAGAACTGAGGCGCTTCCTCACCTCGTTGTCTTGCCAAATTAGGTCGTTGTTTCCATCACTGCTGATTCAATTAAGTCAATTACAACCTGTATTTCCTGATTAGTCGTTTGACCTGGAAGTATATGCTGATTGAAGCCATTCCTACTGCAGTCAAAAGGCAGATGTTAGCAAGTGTTAGTGGGTTTTATGACAAGTTAAAAAGGGTTTGAATGGTTCTGTAGACTGACATCTTATCCAGGATGTTCTACAACTGTCACACTAGTTTCCCACAGTTCTGAACAGGATCAGCTGATTCGTTAATGGACAGATTGAGTGAAAGGTGCCTGTTACTCTTGCAAAAGAAGTTTAGGAGTAACACGATCAAGATTACACAAGATATTATGGAGAAATTTTCACCCTACCGACTAACAATTTGTGAAATCACTTCCCCGTTTTCTCTTTCTGACTGTTATTCCTCAATCAAGTAATTTCTAAAAAAGCAGCAGCAGTGAGTGCATCACATGTGCTTGTGTTGATGTTGTGACACTGACCACAGAATCTAAGTAAGTCAGCAGCCCACTAACACCCTAATATCACCACCAGCTGCCGTGCCCTGACTCAGGCTTACTGCTGGCACTCTCTGATTGCACTCCAGGCCAGCGGTTCCCATGCTCGGTCAGATTTTGCTGAAGTAAAAAATTCAGCGAGCATGGGGCAAAATTCAGCCAACACAAGTACTGTTGTTGTTTGATTTTCTTTGCCCGGAGGTCTGAATTCTTGAGAATTACTGTTGCTTCGCTAGCCAAGCTTTAAGTTTTGAAGGTACAGTTACAGGTCTGCTGGGGCGACACATACTAACTGTTTAGGCACTTGAGGTATTGTACAAAACAAGGGGATATTGTGTCCTTGCTGTAGGTTTGTTGTTGGCTGCAACTTCTGCCAGGATCTGAATGTAGTGCAAAGGTTGTGATTATAACCGGGAGAAGCTCAGAGAGGTGCGGAGCTAAAGCAACACTTGAACATCAAACTATACACGACAATATCAGACTTAACAAAGAAACACATCATGTACCCTATAGATGTTTTCCATGCTTCTTTTTCATCTAGCCCCTAAATGCATTTCATCCTCATCCTGGTAATCATAGTCCGAGACAAAGTCATGGCATACGTAACACAGCACTGTTCTGTTTTCTTGCTTGTGTCCTCTCAGCAGTTGCGTCACCATGTGCGGATATTTTACAACAAGTCCCCCAACCTCCCCTTACACAGTATGAGGAATATTTACTCTGCACTATTGGCACAGGGCTGGTCTCTTGACTGAGGGAGTGTTTCTCACTGTTTAAAATGTGATCTTACATTTGTAGATACAGGGTGTTTGCCCATATGCATTTGTAGGTTAATTTGCGTTGGAGTGACAAATACACTTTGATGGTTTTGGAGTCAGCAGTGACATTTATTAGGGCTGTAATGATTCACGAACCTAAACCCTAATCTCAGTCTTAACAACCACAATTCGGTTCGCAACTCACAAAGATGGAACTACGAAACATCTCCCTGCTGAATTCCACTCAAGTGCAGCCTGTTGCGTGTGTGCCTATGTGTCCGATCACACTCCAATCCCATCACAACCCTGTGTAATCTGAAGCAACAAAGAAGTGTCTAGTAGCTTCAGAACAATGAGTGCACCCTTAAAAAAAGAGTTATGAACAAAACCATGGCTCAAAAACTGAGGTCCAAACTGAACTATGGATTTGGAGAATCGTTACAGCTCTTATATTTATGGTAGTTGGTACCAGATAAGGTCAGGTGCTGCTGCAGCAATGAATGTCATGAATGAACTGTTCCTCACAAGTACAGTAACACAAGTCTGGAATCGTGTGTGTGTGTGTGATTGATACTTGTTAGTGGCGGCGCTGCGGTTTCTTTTTTTAGCTTTAAATGTGGTCCACATTCTGCACATGCCCAGTGTGGTTTCCTTGGCACACAACGTTTTTGCACCAGATGTCTGGAGGGGCAGGAGCATGGTGCTGCTGATGCAGGTTTCTCCTTGATCCTCTCTGCGTATGTGTGTATCCTTGTGTGTTTGTGTGTGATTAAGTACCACAAGTGCAGTTCAGGGTGAGCAAATGAATGAGCACATTAAAGGGCTCTGCTCTATGTAGACTGCATTGCACTGCTGGGCCTCCATTGGAGCGTCTGATCCCGACCATCACTGGTATGTTCTGCGGTGTGTCTGACACAGCTGGCTGCAGTTTGTCCTTATCAGCTGCAGTTCATGTTGAAAAGAAGCAGAGGCAGTCTGTGGGAGAGAGAGAGAGAGATCTGTCTGACTGTTCAGCCTCACTGCGAAGTGTTTTAGTGTCTTTCAGCTCATTCAATGGTTTTGGTTTTGAGACCTGCAATTTCGATCCAGTGTCATGGTTCTCAGTCGAGTGCATCCAGACTAGATCTGAATCTTCACTTGGATTTTCCCTGATTTGTACTCACTCATTATCCCCCTAAACATATTTTTCTTCAACAACATCCATGAATTAATTTCTGGGAAATCAGTTAATATGTTAAAGAAAATGATTAAAATATTCCTGGATTCTCCTCTTTCTCCAGATCCATGCCAAAATGTAATGGGTTCTTGCTTGGCCCATGTCCCATCCTCCCACCAAGTGTCATGGAAATCTGTTCAGTAGTTTTTTTTTGTAATCCTGCTGTCAAACAAACAAAGCAACCAATTGTTGGGGATAAAAACCTCTAAAACCTGCTGTACATGATCTGCACGACCACTAATTCAAGTCAAACTGGCAAACAAACTGGGACCAAACAGCTAAAAGGGAGAATAAATATTGGCATCAACACTAAATCCATGTATGGTTGAGCTGTGTCTGCCTGATGTGCAGGCAGCTGCTTGCTGACGTTAGCTGCACAAACGTCACAGATGTCAAATTCATCAATATCTCTTTTTGGCTGCCTTTGGTTTAAAGTCACAAATGCATTCACAGGCTCCCCAACACTATCATTTACCACCACATCACACTGTGAGCGTCGGTGTCTGTGTCTCACTTGCTGTCAAGTATATTATGCAGCTTAATGTGGTTTTGAACGTTGGCCAATCAGCTCTCTGTCAGCAGTAACAGGTGCTTCCCCGCGTGCCGCAGATTGTTTGCAGCCCTCACATCAGGACAGTCGTCCTCACAGCGCCGGTTTACTCATATTCAACTACGACAACAACAATAACAAGCGTCACCAGCTGAGCAGGACACGTGCACTCGATCCACCCCCTGTCTCTCTCTCTCTCTCTATTTCCTATCGTTTCTATTTCTTCTCCATCTCTCTGCCTGTCGCTCTACCGAGTTCAACGGCATACAACAAAAACAACAACATGCGTGTCACCAGCTGGACATCCACACATGTGCCTCTCTCTCTCTCTCTCTCTCTCCCTCCCTCTCCCCACCCCTGTTTGTTTTGATTCCAGTGTTATGGGACTAGCGGCAGCTCCAGATTATATGGTTTCCAGCGCTCAGATGGCAGGTTGTACTTAAAGTCGGACCAATATAGAGCAGGCGGGACTGAATCAACTGAGCTGACTTCATCCACTCGCCTCATTCATGCAGCTGCGTTTGCCTTTAAAAGTCAATGGCTACAGCTCAACATTGAAGACCTTAAGTCTTCTCATCCTGCGAGGCTGCATGGACAAAATCTCAGCTCACATAAAACCTAATAAATACATTTTCGGCACAGTCGCTTTATCCAGCACAAGGTAATGATCACATCTTTTTTATAGAAATTAGACCAACAAAGTCCAAGATTCTGGAGGCAGTTAGTTAGTGACCATTAAAACTATTGTAGGGTGAAATTGTCATGTTTGTAAAAATAAATACAATCTTTAAAAAAACTCATTGTGTATCAACTTGCTGTACTTGATTTATTTATTTTGTTTACTTAAATTCACATGAGGAAGGAAGAAGGAGGAGGCGAGCAGACTGGATCATTTTTATGTCAGCGGTCATAACCAGTATTTTGTATTGACATGTGAGGTTAGCTGCTTTTCTTTTGCACTTTCTTCTCAAGAATGAGCTTGGATACAACTTCTGGCTGAAAAGCCAAGTCTCATGATGTCACGGTTTCTAAATCGTGATATTTTGTTCCTGTTAAATTCTGAAGTCAAGCCCCACTCTCACTCTTTCACCCTCTGTCTCTCTTTAGCTCCTTTCCGACATGCGGTGAACTACCGACATTTTCATGAAATTTGCTGGAGGGGCTGTTTGTGAGAATGCAAATGTCAGGGTCAGTTGTTCCGAACTTTTCCGACCACTAAAATGTCCCTGTTGAGCCCACATGAGAATACAGCAGGAAAATTCACAGTGAGTGAGTGAGCACGATGAAGAGGTTTCTAACACAGTTTGTAAAACTGGAAGACTCCAAATATCTCAGGATGACTAAGAGCAGCAATACATGTAGATGATGCAGATGTCAACTTGGAAATACAAGATTCAAGAGTTTTAGGCGATTTGGCCAATGGCGGCATTGTTGAGCTGCAAATAAAAAATGTAATTTCCAAAGCAGAATTCATGTTTCATCACCTGTCTGGTACATGCTCTAATAAGAACCCACCCCTCTGCTGGATGCTCCGGATATTATCCTGTTGTTGTGAGAGCGTCTGACCTGGACAATCTCCTGCTGCGTTCCTCATATGTGA